GTTGACAATAGAGTTGGGGTGGTTGACTGAGGGTTATGTACTATAAAATGCAGCCTGGACGGTGAAAGGGGGAAGTCCTTAAAAAGGTAAGGGGTGTATGAGCAGTGAGGGCCGACACTCTCTCGCCCTTGTAAGAAGTGATGGGGTTGGTTGAGTGCCTCAGAGCATTCTATTCAGCCAGTTGAAGGGTCAGCAGTGGGAGACATAGTGTTCTCTGTGGGTAGCACAGATGGAGAAAGTGGCCCTTGGAGTGCCAGGGGACGTGCTTGATTTCTTGGCAACAATGAGAAGGGGCTTTTGTGCTGGTAGGAGCAGTCTGCCAGTCAACTATATTTATGGAACACCTGCTGTGCAAAATTTGAAAAGGAGGAGGAGACAGGCCTTGTCCTCAAGAAGCTTATGATCAAAGAGATAGGAGAGATCCCCTTGTGCTGTAAGCCCTTTACTACTCACAGCCACATTTGTAATGAGAGAGGATTCGGTGAGATTCGGGGTATATTCCGAGGCTTCTTATTCAAACTGTGGGTCATGTATTGGCTGCGTCAGCATACCCTGGAGACTGTTAGAAATGCAGACTACTAAACGCTGCGACAGACCCCCACAATCAGAATCTGCACTTGGACAGACCTCTAGGTGATTTCTTTGCACACAGCAGTTTCGGACTGGAGGGCCTTCGGAGGTGGCTAGTCTCAAGGGTTTTGAGAGAGCAGAGCCACCCGGTTCGATGACTAAGTTCACAAAAAAGGACAGTTGGTTTAACAGTGAGCTTCTTAGAGCATCTATTTCCTCTCAGCCACTTGTAGAAACCTCTGCCCTTGTTAAATTCATGATGGGCACCCACTGAATTCCTGTGGGTGAGTGCATCTTTCCACTGCCCCTGTTCAGCCAGTACTGTGCAAATGGCTATGGATGTATTATTGTTAGAGAGACAGCTAATGAATTTGGGGAATATGCAAATGATTTTTAGAGGCATGAGTGCAGCTGGGCATGACAGAACCTGTCTGTAGTTAAAGTAAGTGATGTATGAGCGGTTCCTTTAAGGGCAAAGGGGAGGTTTCCCGGCAATGTTTCATTTTCAGTCCAAGTCACGCGCTGTTTGTCCTACTCTGCTCCTGGTTCCCCATCTCTCCAGGCTTAGGACAGCTGGAATGCTCATTTCAAGTGCCGTGAACATTGCTGAGAAGTCATCTTCTTATCCTTTCTGTCCCACCAGGACCGACTGGTCGATCAAACTGTAATATCTGAAAACTTTATCAAGGTCAATTATTATTGCCATTTTACAGTAGGAGAGTGAGGGGCCTATATTCTCTTTTCCGTTCCCCAGATGCTTCCTCAGCCCCCACCCCAATTCCAAACATGTTCTAACAAGTTATAGCCCACAAAGCCAGAAATAAGGCAGATCCCCGGCAGGTGCACGTATGGGAAGGCCTGAGTGTCATTCTCACAGGTGTGTCGGAGGACGACTACGGTAACAGCGACGACCACGGAAAGAGAGAGAAAACATGTAGTGTTTAACATGTTCCTGCCCTTGCAGGATCTCATTCATTCCTGCCAACAGCCCTTGAGACAGGTTCCGCTATTAATTCCATTGCCTAGATGAGAAAATGGAGGGATGTTCCACTCTTACAGAGAGGGTAGCATCCACATGAGGCTATGTGGTCATAACAATAGGACCAATCAATGCAGCGGGGTAAAAAGGCAATAAAATCTCTGAGAAGTCCGTCAGCTCACTTCTGCCTCCACAAGCTTGAACAGCTGAGACAGGGAAGTGCAGCCCCCTGCTGCAGAGCCCGGGACCTGAGTCCACAGTACCTCGGGTAGAGAGCCTGGCTCCACCCCTCACGGGCTGTGGGACTTCGCAAGGCTTCAATTCCCATCCGCAAAACGGGGATAAGGGCTGCACCAAAGGCATAGCGCTTAAGGACTTAAAGGATACATTTATGCTAGGTCCCGCATGCAGTGGGTGCCAATGAGCGGTCATACTTTATTTATTTCTCCACTGGCTGTAAAGTAATAGGGTTTCTACGATTTTGAGAAGGAGAAGTTCTAACTCTGCCTATGTAGGCAGGCATGCATTTTCCTGCTTCCACGCCCTGCAATCATCCTAAAAATGCACTGGCATTAATATCCTGTAGTGTTTCTGTAGTTCTATTTGATACAGTTGGTTATGAATGACCAAAGTTCTGGGGATTTGCTGGAAGTTGAATTAAACCCTTTAAATTCTCATTTTGGTTTGATTTTGGTACTCTTATATAGAACATTGGAGCTACAGACTCAATGGGAATAGAAAATTCACATTCAGGACACATTTACCGTCTCAGTGTTCAAGATGATTCTCTTTTATGTATCTGATTAGAATTCACCATTGGCCTGACTTCCAAAACAAGATTTTAAGCCACCATGACTTTCCATACAAAATGGGCCCTTGTCTACACAGATGATGAGGAAGTGCGGTCAGTTTTAGTTCATGCACCATCACCAAGGACTCCCTTCTGAATTCTTTTCTATCAGTTCACTATGCATTTCATGGGTTTTCAGCAATCAAATGAGGCACCAGGGAGATAGGGAAGGAATAAAGGATCTTCGTCTTGCTTAGTTGGAAGGGAAAAGAAACATACTGAAAAAACTGGAAAATAATTATTTAATAGAATATTACCATGTAGTCTAGAATGCCAAGACAATAAGGGAGGAGAATAGAAGGGAATAATTAGCTCTGAGAATCTTAAGAGAAATGCCAGAAAGACCAAGATTGCCAAGAGGCAATAATGGCGATAGTTATTGCCGTGCATGTGCATAGGATTAGCACTCTAACAGGTCATTTATCTTATTATTCTGATTTCACAGAGGAGGACACCAGGCCTGGTAGGGATTAAGGAATTGCCCCAATTACACAAGTGATAAGGCATAGAGTCAGGGTTCAAACCTAGGTCTGCTTGACACAATCACAGGTAGAAAAAAATACCTAAAGGTCTGTTGGGGAAAGATCATCACGCTTCTCAGCGGCAGAAAGGTCAGAAGGGGAAAAGAGAAGCCATCTCTAGTGCAGAGGGGGCCCTAGGGTGCACTAAGAGGAGGGAGGAAGAGGACGCACCCGCCGGCAATGGCTTTGAAGTGAACCGAGAGTGTAGACTAACCACAGAGGCCACAGGGACCCACCCTCGCAGGGTGAAACACAGCTGTGGCTTAAGTAATCCCTGCAGCTGTGGAACAAGACTGGAGGGCAGAGAAACTTGTCTGCAGAGACAGCCAGGAAGAGGCCATCAGGCACTGGGTGACAAAGGCCCTGTCCAAAGGATAGTGTGTCAAAGAAACTGGCTTCACACTCTCTGTATTCTGATATCTGTGTGCTGCAACAAGACCCCAAAGCCAGTAGGTCAACACTGCAGGTCCATTTCTGCACTCAGATCTCTGAAAATAAAATGCTTTGACCAAGGGTTTCGTCTTCTCATGGACACTGGCACTACAGATCTTTTCCATGACATGGCAGAGAAACTAAGGCACTTCCCTCAACGCCATCTTTGGGGGACTCATTCTCTCACTGTATCTTCAAGCCCCATCACAGCCAACCACGTTATATTCTGCCAGTCTGTAAGGTTATGTTTTTTCTCCTTTGGTCATACATATTTTTTCTTCCTCATTAGTAAACAGTAGTTTACAGCCATGTGAATGAAAATAGCTGTTTTTTCTTAAACCATGAATTGGAATTTACACCCAGCACAAAAAATTAGTGATGAAAGAAAACATTGCTACATCCTGGCAGCCCTGTGCCCCTCCTTCCTTGCTTTCTGTTACGCTGCAGTCACTTCCTTCTTCTGTGCCCATTCCAGCCTGCCTAGACTGAAATAGGATACTTGGTGTGCACATAAAGATGACTGTTGGGCTAAACTGCTTATTTAGGTACTGTTTTCTTTGCTTGGAAAGGGCCACTTGTGAAAAATATGTGGAAAACCCTAGAACCAGACAAACAGAAAACTCCTGGGGTGCCCCAATGTGCCTGTAATACAAAAACTTTTCTTCAGGACTGATGTATCAAGCAGAAAATAATTTTAAAAGAGATCACCTTCATTAGCTGCCTCTTTCTTCCTTGGAGTGGGAGCGGCTGGTTCACACACACATCACAAATTCCCAGTCGTGGGCACCCATGGGAATTAGCAGGGGCAATTCTATGCCCCTGGGTCATTGGACGTGCCGTTAGCTGCTTGGACATAGTATATTCTCTAAGAGAAGTTCCTTTAACAGACTTCACTGCCAGACTGCTCTGTAATTCTGGATATCCAAAGCCAGGTATTAACCCTCAAAACCAGAGCTCTGAAAATCTTGGATAAGTGTAGATGGAAATCTACTCCAAGCATGTGAACTTCCAGAAACAACTGGAAGATGGGCTGATTCGGCTTCTCCGTGAACAGTGGTTTGCCTTCTAATAAAAGGAAACACTGCAAAGCCAGAGGACTTTTATCTCATCATCATTCAGAAAGTCTGTCTCATGAGGGCAAGATGATGTCAAGATGCTGTGGCATCCTTTCACTCCAGGGAAAGTGGAGTCTCATTTATTGAGCACTGACTTGACCTTAGGTTGTATGGGGTGTGAGCACCTGGACTCTAAGGGACATGCATGCCACTCACTGTGTCTTACTTCATCCTCACAACAACCTATGCATATAAAATAGCTGTCACTGTGTCCATTTTTCCAGAGAAGGGAAACAACCTGAGTGCCTTAATTGCCCTGCCTGCTGCCTAAGTGGCAAGTCACTTAGGTTCCCATTTCACCTGTGCTCTGTCCACACCTACACTATGCCGCCTCCTGGAAATCTATGTAATACCATCTAGATCATCATCTCACACCAGACACCAAAAGGCACTGTGTCTTGGGCCTCTTGATGCCACAGGTTGATGATTTTCCTGCTCTGTCCCTCTTGTCGGCACAGGTGAGATGGCTTCCTGGCATTGAGTACAGCCTGGGACTGTGGGAGTAACTCTTCCATTACTCTTTTCATTTCTAGAAAATGAAGTGCCAGCCCCAGCTCCGGTCCCGGCCCCAGCCCCACATCCAGAAGGTGAGTAAAAACACTGCCTCACCTGTTTGGGCTGCAAATACAGAACACCCCTCCTGGCATGATTCAGCCTCAGCTGAAGCTGTGAGCTTTAACCTAACTCCTATAGAGAAGTTGGATGACCGCAGTTGTGATAGGTTTATAATAACAATAATAAAACATCGTATTTATATAACCCTCTCACATTAATCTGATTTGGATGGCACATCATACACTTATAAAACCCTTCAATTATGCTCAAGTTGTTATGCCCACTTCTTAGCACTGTGGAGGCTTGTCTCCAAGGGCCTGAGGGCTTTGCAGGGCTTTTCACACATAGCTAAAGGCAAACAAAGCCCACGTCTTTCTCGTGAGAGCAGGGAGCAGATCCCACCGCAGTCCTGGGATATGAGCAACTTGAACTATGTCACCATCAAACACCTCCAGGACCTCCTCTGCAAGAGTTCCCAGGAGGGTTTGGTGGCTTCCAAGGCTCAACAGGACCAGCCTGTTGTCCACCTTAGTAGCCTTTTGTCCACCAGGTGGCAACAATATCATAAGGAGTATAGTTGCAGTGAAACTAGCAACTGGAGGTGTCCAGCGACGCACAACAGGTGAGCTTGCTTTTATATCCATGTAAACCTAAGGAAGAGAACAGGATTAAAAGAATGACAGGCTTCTCAAAGATCATGTGTCTGCCCAGCCAAGTGGCCCCCAAGAGGGAGGCAACCAAAATTATGTGCATCTTCACATGAAGACCCCAAAGTGCTCTGTCTTGTCACTCTTCCTCCTTGAGGAGGAGAAACTGGCATCCTTTCTAGAATCATCAACAGGGTGTAGACATTCTTCTCAGGATCTTCTTTAGGATGTTTTCTCCTTGCATGTACAGATTTATTTTGTGCATATTGAGCACATTAAGAACCTACAGGCCATTAAAGACATAACCTCTTTCTTCTGCTCCTCAGACCAGGTGCTGTCACTCGGCCACGATAGCTCCCTTATTATGCCAAATGTCACATGCATTACACAATCCCCATCTCTTGTTGCTAAAACAGGTTGCCCAAACTCTGCTAAAATTGTCCTTATTTGTTATCTAAGATTCAGCTCACTAGTCATCAATCCAAAGAGAGAGAATTCTTTCTTGAAACAAGTCTTTTCTTACATATACCAGAAGTCAGATGCCTTTTGCAGGTATCTAAACTAATATGATTCTGATCAGAAAGAAATAAAAATTAGATGGCCTTAAGGGATAAAATCTGGTGTTCCTGCTTGCATAGCGCATTTAACTCAGCCCAGAAGTTAATATGTGCACCAAAATATTTTCTTTGAAACTATTGTAGAATTAAAGACTTATACCCTGACTCCTTATGATAATATTATCTAGAAGTCCAACCTATTGGAACCAGTGCATGGGGCAAACTCCCTTAAAATGTCAGTCCCTTGCTGGTGTCTAAAAGGAAGGGACCCATGTTATATACTCATTCCCACACCAGCATGTTTTAACATGGTTTTTTAACAAAATCGGTATTGCATGTTTCTATGTGTACTGTTTGCAAAAGTGATCATATTTATTAATTGTTTAATGTGACTACATACAAAATCATAACTCATGTATAGCATAAGTGAGTACGTAGCATCATTTATGATCTGTTCTGTTTTCATTAATTTCTCCTCCCTCACCCCACCCCATTGTTCATCACACATTGCTCATCACAAAGAAGAAAATGCTCTCTTTAAGACACTTTGAAAAATGTACTTGTACTTTCCACACAGAACCAAAAAAAGAGAAGGTGGCCGGAACTACACCAGGAAAAGGTAAGTAGGAAGGAGAGAGAATGAGGCTGAATTCAACAAAATTAGAAGCAGAAAGAGGTCAGTAATGATTGCCACTGGTGACCCCACAGAACTTCTCTGCAGTATCCTTCCACGGTGATTTCGAGCTCTCGGTTTGCATCTTACCTGCACAACCCAGTCAGCATAATGACAAATGGTGCATTGATCAGTTTTCATTACACACTTTTCTAAAAGAAGAACAACAATGATAAATGTATCACAGGCACTTCTTAGGATGCTAGCAAGTTAATTGGTAATTTCCAAGTTCTAAAGTACATGTGAAGGAAAAGGGGTGTTTTGGGATTATACCAATTTGGAAAATTGTCTGGATTACCCTGATTTTTTTTAATGGAATATTTTCATGTTACTGTGTGAACTGTTCCAGCTTTCACTAGTAATTTTGAAGACTGGTATCTCATTTTGTAATGCCATGTCTTTGTGTAGAGTTATATAATGGCCTATATAGATTGACAATACAACTTTAAGGGACATCTTGTTGCTCCTTAATGAATCAGAAACTCACTTATTCCTGTAATATTATTCTATTTTTATTTTATATGGAGATGACCTAGTTTTAGAAAACGAATGAATAATCTTTATCATGTAGTGCTACAGGATCCATGAAATAGTAATTCCTTTGTCTCTGTAATGGAGGAAGTCACTGTTATTACTGACTATCTGTCCTAAGCTAAGGAACATTAGTCTTCTATAGAGGAAAGTTTTCAAAATATATTTGACAATTCTGCTTTACATGTTTGTATCATCATTTTTTAAAGTTCCCCTTTTATTTCTGTAAAGAATAATACCATGTAAATTTGAGAATAACCAATTATAGCCTGACTGCTGTAAGACATTTCTCCTTTTGCTGGACACCCCTCAAAAGCATGTTGTGTTTGTTCCTTCTATATCAGATTTCATGACCTAATTCCTATTATCTTATTGTCTCCTTTACATTAGTGAAATACTTCTTTTCTTTCTTTCAGTTCATTGGACCACTTTTCTTCAGCTAACTTGAACTTACTGTCTCTCATGATTGAACACATAGTGTTTGTACAGTCATTTTGTCCTTGACGTTCAGTGGCTCCTATGGATAGAAATAGGAATGCTAATCCTGGCCACGTGGGCCACAGTCTGAAGGTTATTTGCTTATGGAATGCAGGCAGTGTAAACTCCAAGAACTCCTTCCACGAGATCGGTTCAAGGATGTTTGGGCATCCTGGCTGAAGCTATGGTAACACTATTCCCTATGAGGCTGACGGCATGCACCTGTTTCCAAATTTGGAAACGTGCTTGAACCAGGCTGTAAGACTCAACCAACAGAGCAGATGATGTAATCCAGAGGGCAAGCTGTCAGAGTTAAAACAGAGCCTGTGCCTGACCCTTAATCTGAAAAGCCATTATATTATATTTGTATGCTTAAATGAGAAAATGTCTTTCTGTAAGTTCAGATCAACCAACCAACCAGTCAACCAGTCTCTCAACAAAAATTATCTTCAATATGCAAAACAGTATGATGGAAGAGCAAAGCCAGATGACTAGGGCACCCTGAAATTAATAGTACTTTAATGTGACATTTACAAAAGTTAAGCAAGGCCATGGCCACATGCAGTCACTTGCCCAGGTCCATAAACTGCCATATTTACTGTAAGTGCCTAGGATGCAAATCAATTTAGGATAGGAGGTGACACCCCCAAATAATGAAGGTGGATGAATGGAAGTTATTTCTTAATATATAATCCTCTTCAACTATTATTCACTTTCATCAGGGACAGGGAAATTTCGAAGAAAATACTTCCGCAAGAAGTAGACACCATAATTATTGCTGTGTGCATATCCCCGGTTGAGAAAGAAGCCTTGCATGAACATAAACAAGATGGACAGGCACAAAACACCTTTCTCCAGCATTGACTAGGGTGCCCTTCCCGGCCCTTGACCATCCTCCAATCCCCAGTCCATCTAGTTATGTTCTAACCATTCAACTCAAGTTTCACTCCTTAATGCGTCTTTCCCCTGATTATCTTAGCGCACTTTCATGTCCCCTTCCTCCTCCTGATTTCTCTTGGACCTATTGCCTCTGTCGTTGAACCACTCTTTTCTCCACTTAATCATGTATTAACAGGTCACTCCTTTCCCTAACAGGCTGTAAGCTTTTTGACAGTCAGGCACTATGTCTTAACACCTCTTTGGGCCTTTATCTCATTTCTTCCAGCATCTGGCAGAGGACTGTGCATGGTAATCTCCTAATAAATTCTTGTAGAATGAATGAACAATTGAATTTCCAGGCTGGCTTTGGCTGTTGATCATACACATGACGGCAATCCAGATAAGAGTTTTATTTCCATTCACCATGCTTGCTGGGCAGCAGGGTGAGCACCCCATGCTTACTCCCGGTTAGTGAGGTTCAGAATGAGGTACCTCAGCTGTGAGTTCTGAGTGCTCATCCTCAGAACGGATGGATGATTTTTACTATAAGAATAACTTGCTTAAAACTACTGAAAATGGCCTTGCCTGAATATTAGTACATTTTCAGCACTTTAATTAGTCCTCTATCGAATTAGTTGAAGTATATTCAAGTAATAGCTCCAACAGTGTCACTATGAAGAACATAATTCACAGCAATACAGCCTTAATACCTTTCCCAGATTGCTTGAATCACTCTTCAAAAGCTCGGAAATGTTTGGGAAAAGATTTTTTTTGTAGCCACAGAATGTGTATGGTTTCAATATCAATCTAGTAAGTAGTGGTTGTGGTTAGATTTGCCAACTTTTTCACTTAATAGCAGTGTCTAGGAAACGGCTGATTTCCCAGGCAGGGGTTTTATTATTTGTTTGTTTGTTTGCCTCTGGACTTCTCTCTCCAGATATTCTGTTCCCTGATACTGCCTGCTTTGTCCTGGAATTGAAACAATAGAGATGACAATAAAAACCTGGCGTCTAACCAAACAGCACTGCCAGACATCAGATGCACAAATCCCTTTCGCAGTGGTCATCCTGAGAGATGACGACCTTATAAAAATAATGCTGCTGTGGCTTAGAATTTGTCCAGAATAATTACAAGCGGCAAGTCAATGGAATGCTGAGTAGAGATTCCTCTCTATACCCTCAGTAGGGCCAAAGAACTGCCTACCAAAATGTTTTATTTTAATATTCATTTGTCCAACAAGTTTTTGCTGAGTGTCAGCTCTATGCCAGGTGAGGGTCTGGGCGCTGGGTCCTGCCCTCCTGGAGATGGCTTTAGGGAGCTTTAGAAGAATGACCATCAGCCGAGGACAATGGATTTCCCTTTTGGAGGCAGACAGACGTCATGGAGGGCCATGCGTAGAGCATAATGAGGGTGATCACATGGGATCACGCCGTTTTTGGGCAACCAACAATGTATGTGTGAACATAGGGTGATGAGATTGGGTTCTGTCTGTGCCTTAACAGTCGACCTATGGGAAGTTTAAAAATTGGCTCTCTGCGTGGTTCCCATGCACCAGCAGCATTAGAATCAGACTACTTTGAATATCAGTACTCATTTCAATTTTTATTTTTGCATCTTACTAGTTTCGTTGCCTGTGTATCTTTTGGTAAGCTCAATTAGAATAGCTACCGTATCTCTTAATTTTTCTTCCAGAAAAATATTTGCTTTTGGTAATCACTGCAAGTGAAGTAAAAACTTATTTTCCTTTTTCAGGCATTAACATTAATATTACCACATAAATATTTTTTGTGAATGAACTCTGTGCCTATCAAGGATCTCACATAATTTGAGATGAAGAGTCTTTCTTTTGGCATGAATGTGGTTGACAGATGAGGAAGTGAATCAGCAGAAGTTCCAGCAAGTTTTCTCCTAAATGATATATTTTTTAAAGAAATGATATAAACATTTTTCTTCTTCATTTAGGTTCCTTTACATCTGCAATATAGTGTTGTCCTGTGGCTTGTTACTTGCATGTGCAAATATTTTTGTGCGGTTTTACCTTTAGGTATCAGGCAATCAACCATCTAATGTCCCTGTGTTTAATCTATGTATTCTAATTACATTGCTTCCTTGTAATGAACTTCATTAAAAACTATATTATGTATGTTTCAATTCTCCAAGACATAACCGTTGTAAAATGCAACATTGATTTAATAGATTTGGAGAAGAAAAACTCATTAAATATACACGTTTATTGTAAGATAATCCTGATTTCAGAAACATCAAAGTTCTCATTAAGAGAATGTGATAAATTAATCAAAGCCTCAAAACATGATGTATTTATCTCAGCTATTAATGTTATTGTCTTCCATATGCGGGATCACAGTTGCTGTTACTATTTTGGTCACATATGCCTATGTTCACTACAACTGATTACCCTGCTCGAGGAATTCATAAATTTGTCTAAATCAAGCAAGGGATTGTATCAGTTTTTAACTGAGGTTTGTTTAAATTCACATACATTTTAATGTTATGTGCTTTTGGTCGTTTAAAAAATCTCAGTTGTTGAAAATTGTAGTATTACTTAAAAATTAACTTAGAAAGACAAGGTAAATAAACCATAGGTAGAAATAACTTTTTGCTGAAGAGAGTGTGGGTAATTATAAGAATCTACACCTCCTATCTCTGGAGTTCTTTCCCTCTCAGTCCAGAGCGTGAGTGGCCCCCTGAAATGCCAGGTTTGTACTATGAGACTGAGTTTTCTCTCTGCTTTCCAGGCATTCTTCTCTGGGAACTTCATTTGTTTAAAGAATTATTCTTACGGTTTTGCAAATGTTATTTTCCCGTTACATCAAGACAAATAAAATTCTGCTCTGGTAAATTTCCCTTCTGTGTCACTGGGGGAGATCCCTCTGCTGCTCTGGGTCTGTGGTCTTCATGGATGCTGTATTCTAAAGAGCCAAAACACAGATTTAAGTTTTCACTGTAGTCATCGTCTCTTTCAAGTAGAAAAAAAGAGCATATGACTTACATATTGTATTTTTTGTTTGGTCCCGTTTGAAAATGTACTTTGTGTGATGTCCTGCTTTTCATGTGTGTGTTGTTGAATCAGGCACAACTAAAAAGATTTGTATATTCACTTTCCCCTCTAGTAGAACCTGTTTTTCCACAGTAAATAAGAACAATGAAACTTTTCATTCTCGCCCAAGTCAACGAAACTCAAGTGGGCAACTTTTTAAGAACTTAAGGTGGGGATCCGACATCTCAACGGCATTTCCCAATCTAACGGGATGCTAGGCCCAAAGCTCCTTTTAAAATAAGGGAAACACTATAAAAACACAGCATAAGAAATTTTAGAAATTAATAAAAAGGGGGATTGTCACAGTACATTTTGCCCCCTGTTGATTATATTTTCTAGCATGTCAGTAAATTTGAAAATTATGTACAATGAATCAAATATTCCCAATTGAGAAGTAGGTGCTGTTTGGAAGTAAGTATTGTATCCTCTATGGGATCATTTCCTGATACTATGAAGCACGGCTTTAATATGTGCTGCCTCAAAAGTCTAAAATAATTGTGCCTGTGCCCTCAAATAGTCTTAACATTTAGTGGACTTTGAAATTACTCATCCACCAAATTTTACTTAAAAAATTGATCCTCTTTTCATTTTAATTTTCTGAAAATATATGGATACTCTTTTCTCAATCATTTTGCATTATAAATAATTAACTCAAAGGTTCATTACACACTGTATCCAAAGCAAATAAGCAACAACCTCAAAACCTGTATAAAATGAAACATTCATCTGACTCAAGAGGGTTCTAGTTTCTAGTTCATATTTAATAAAGGAAGTTCCTTTCCAGGATTTGGTTAAGATTTTAAACTTCATTTTCAAAAATTTTTATGGAACTTTAAATCAAGATCCTTTATATATTTCAGTAAATAAAAGCCTTTGAATAGGTTACAAGAATAATATACTAAATACTAAATTAAATGCATGGCAAATAATACAGAAATATGTATTTTATTTTTGGTTATGTAAAATTTTAATTACCTAATAGTCTTCTGAAATATAGAATTCCCCTGATAGCTCAGAAATAAGTATACTTCTCCAATGGTATGATTGTAGAATGTTAGTGGATTTAAAAGTCAACTAAGTTTGGGGGATGCTAACTGCTGTATCATTTCTTGTCTCCACTCTCAGTACCGGCACACATTAGCACACCAAAGGCTTTGAGATATCCCTCAGTAAATGTACACAGACAATACAACAAAATACATGAATTTAACTTAATTTAGCTGAGCATTTTCCAAGCTTCCTTGACCACAAAAAGCTTCCTCTGAAGAATCGTGAAGTCCACAGTACCCAGTAAATCACCTCTTGGATTCTAAAGATATGACATTAAGGTTCTCCACATATTATATTAGTCATTTTGTTAAAAAGTCATGAAACATATCCTTGGTTGACAGTTTTAGAAATGAAATTTTAGGCTAATAAATAATATTGGAAGTAGATATTCTAATAGACTTTACAAAAATGTGCTAATTTACCGACTCCTGTCAGGATTTTTTTTTTAATAAACAGTCATGTGTATGTGTTTTCTTTATCTGATTTTAAATAATCATATAAGTTCACATTTTGAAATCCAAAGTTATTATAGTAGTTTAAGTACAAAGATTATTACTGTTTACCCTAACACTAGTCTTCATGCTTGGGAAGGGGAGGGGCAGAGGTTCAGAGAACCCCAAATGCTTATTTAAGCATTTAAAATGTAAAGACTCTTTGAAATACAGACATTTTAGAAAAGGAGAATAGCCATGCCTCTGCACATAAACACTACAAAGCATATTTTGAACTTTACAAACGTGCATGGGTAAAAATTTTTAAAACTATACAGCATTGGCCAACACCAATATAATCTTGGGAAAATGCTTATCAAGTTCCTAAAATAATTATTGGTGAACTTAGTATGACAAATTGATTTATATTTTTAAATTTTTGTTTGACATCTGTTTCCTAAGTATAGAAAGGGAATGAATCATGAGGTCTTGGGATGCAGGGAAAGAATGAGTTCTCACACAGCACATATATGCTTGTAGTCTGCGCCCAAATGATTGTGATGAATGAATTTTGTGCGTCATTGACGTTAATATGAAATAAGAACGCAAAAACCACCTCAGTTGGTGGTTTCATCAAGGTCTGCTTTTTTTTTGTAAGCATTCATTTTTTTCCTAACCTACAATCACGTCCAATGCTTGCAAAGGGTTCCATTTCGCAATCTGCACTTTCATTGGCTTGCCCTACTCTCCTGCTCTTTTATTTATCTGTTTGTTTGTCTCTTTTGTCTGAAATACTGAAGTCCAATCTTTCAGGTACCTTAAGTCTTCTAAGGCTTTCTCACCAGGTGAAAGTGTTTTGTGTAGTTTCTCCTTTTTTTTTTTTTCCAGCTTTCTCTTTTCTCAGGATACTTGGGACAAAGTCCTTTTCTGCTTGACTCTTCATTCCTATTTCTTGTTTCAGATGAAGAGGAAATCTCCCCGCCTAGTGCCCTGCCTCCAGGTTAGGATGATTCCATTCCCACTCCCCTTTTAATTCATTATTAATCGACAGTAAAGGAAAAGAAAAGGCAGAGAATCTTGATGAGACAGTACACGGCACAGGGCCCCAGGTTTGGCTGGTGCCGGGGCCGAGAGGGAAAACCTTGGCTTTAATGGCAGTTTTTTTTTTACATGAGGTTTTGTGAAATAAATAAGTAAACCTTGGGTATAAATTCTAAGGGGAAAAAAATGTTTGTTTTCCATTTCCAGCTTTATGTCTTTTTCTCATTCTTTAGATATTTGAATTCTTTTATACTATTACTATTTTTCCAATATGACACACTTTTTATAGGTGTTTCATAATTGGAGCTCTACTGATTTTCCATTCAAGCCAACGTCTAGCTTGGTTCCCCCCATCATCAGAAGGCACAGGGTTGAGGGGGAATCCAAGAAAGTTGAAGTGAGAAGTCCATTTCCAGCCCCTTGGCCCTGCATCTTCCAAACCACTCTTCCCTTTCAGGTCTGAGTAGTCGGGCCCTGGAAAGAAAAGATTCAGGTGAGCACATGCCTGGAGCGAGGCATCCCAGCCCCTTCTAATATAATCACTAATGACCTCATTTCTTGAAGCTGTATGGATTCTAATCTTATTTTATTCGATTTATACCTTTTGTAGCAATTTTTCATTATATAGCCTCTTATAAGAAAACTAATGTAGTGAAGAACAATTAATTTTGCATGATGCACACACATGCACACATTCAGGAATCTGGCCACATACACTACAGGTTTGTTTATTGTAACTATCCTTTTTAATACTTAGCAAACCCACAGAGCTTAAGAAACTTACAAAATCTACATAATAATTCACATTTTTATAGAACTTTACATATAGTTGATAAAATACCTCCCAAATGCATCCTGATGGTAGCTACAGTTTTTGTGATGTTATTCATTCATTCTTTCGACAAAAGTACTTTGAGGGACTATTGTGATAGGTCCTCTGTGGGCCTGGCACTTCTGCAAGCACTTGCAGGTAGGTATAGGAATGAATGAAACAATAATTAATAGTTCCTGCCCTCATGTTCTAAATGTGAATGGCTACAATTCACTATTACTATTAATATCACAAATACACTTAACACAAAATTTTAACATCAACTTTGGCATTAAAACCAATCGTGTAATCGTATGAATACATTGCATTACTTCATTGTGACATGATGATCGCCTGTGGCTAGAGATACTAAGCATGATTGATAGATGAGAACTAAAATAACTGAATGTACATTTCCTTCTTTTCAAGAAAGAGCATTGACAACCCATCCAGTCTTTTTTTTTTCCAGTTATTAAGTGGCTGAAACCAAACTTCTCTGCATTTAGGTCCTGGAGGACAGTGGGAATATCTGCAGTTCTCTCTCCCATCCTCCGTATTGGAGCTGGTGCTGCTTAATGCCAGCTAAGCCCTTGGAGTGCAACCTAGGAAATAAAGATAAACTTCCCTTTCAGCTTGCCTCTCTTCATGGGAAACCTCAAGAAGTTTACCTTTCTTCCTTTTTTCAGTACTGCCTTTTCCCTCCTGCAGGATGCTCCTAGTATTCTTGAAATTTGTACCTGCAGGTCATGATCTGTTACATAATTGTCAAACTATGACCATATCCATACCACCCTAATGGAATCGTCTCACTATACAAAAGCAAATAATCTAGAAATACCAGGCCATTTTTGGTTGCCTGACCCTTCTCAGTTGACTCATATCCTGATCCATCCTTTATTGTCTTTTCCAGTCCTGTTGTTGTATAGATATGGCCTTATAGTCAGTCACCTGGAAAAAATACTGAGAGGACTGCTTTAATATACTTTAATGTATTTCATATATTTTAAATAATAAAATATAATATTTCCTACCATTATTAATCTGTTAGGGGATATACAGGATGGGGAAACAAAGGAACCAGGGCTGCCAACAAGGACAGAGTAACAACCTACCTGAAAAGTTAAACTATTTCTAGGAATTAGAAAATGCTCCTTTATCTCATGGTGGAAGAGACAGCTCTCTAAGAATGGGAATCTGTTACTTTCTACTGATGGCTGCAGGGGAGATGGATGGAAAGAATGTTATATTCATCCAGGTTTATTAGATGAAGAAAAGCTTCAGCACTGCTGAGAACAGCAAACCCAGGTAAGTCTGTCTAGGAAGAACCTAGCCCCGAAATGACCCTTCTCCTCCTTTCTGCTCATTAGAATGGTCTCTTGGCGAACCTGCTGGGGAAGAACAAGACAAGCAGAATGCCGATTCCCAGTTGTCCACCCTGTTAGTAGAAAAGCCTCAGTCAGGAACAGTGAAAGTTGGTGAGTGCCAAGCATTAAATCCTCCTTTTTTTTTTCAGTGAAGGTGAAATCCATATAACATAAAATTAAATATTTTACAATGAACAACCAGTGGCTCTTAGTACACTCAATAAAGTTGTGCAGTCACCACCTTTAGCTAGTTCCAGAGCATTTCATCACCCCAAACAGAAACCTTTTGCCCCTTTAAGCAGTTTCTCTCCCTTCTCCTTCCCCACCAGCCCCTGGTAACCACTAATCTGTATCTGCTTTGTCTCTGTGCATTTCCCTATACTGGATATTTCACATAAATGGAATCATACAGTATGTGACCTCTGTGTCTTTTACTTAGCATAATATTTTTGAGGTCCATCCAAACTGTATCATGAATCAGCACTTCATTCCTTTTTATGGTCGAGTAATACTGTATATATATATATATATATGTATACTGTATTGTATACATATATTAATCCTGCTTTTTATAACCTGGAAAGGTGAGTGACAGCTGTCATTCAGTCTCCTTTAGCACATAATAGTTGAGTGCCTGGACCCTGAAGCCAGTTGAATTCGAATCAGTTTCCTCATCTGTAAAATGGGGCTAAATGATTTGTGTTCATTATAACCTGCCTCATTATATAAGATGATTACAAATCTGCATATGCACTAGATGATATGTATAGTATCTCAAAGGAAGCTAGTTAGACAGATAGTTCACCTTTGGAGATATTCATTAGAAAATGCTCCTTTATCTCATCGTTTATACAGTATGTGATGATATTCTAAAATGGGGGGCATAGACTTTTCAGAAATAGACTTCTTTCAGGTCTAGAATATAGAAGCATATTGTGTGTGAATGGAAATGTTTTCTCCCCTGTGTTTCTGGGAGACACCAAAACACAGAGCTGGATGCTGGGGCACAGTTTTGATGTGCTAGGGGTCTAATTGGTTACACAAGTGATAGGCAGGGTTATTTCAGAAAGATCAGTTCCATTTAGTCATATTCCTATGCTTCCAGACTTCCCATCATCTTGCCTAATAAAAAGGGTGGGGAAAAAAACATATGTGTACATTTTCCCATTTTTATTTCATATATATATATGAAATATATATAAAACCAAATAAAAATATTTCCACTGATTAACCAATTGCTTCCTTTTCTGCTCCATAAACTTCAAAAGCAGAACACACCGGAGTATCCTAAGAACTTCTAGGGTACTCATGAAAAAATCAGGGCCATTTTATTGCAGAATCCCTGGAGCACCAGTCATATCATAGTCTACATTGTGGAGTCCTGTAAAACTCCTTTCAGTTGTGAGCAAAACAAATGGCGATTTTTAAACCACAGTCTGAAACATTCCTTCTTTTTTGTAGGTGAAAATATCACCTTTATAGCCAAAGTCAAGGCTGAAGATCTTCTTAGAAAACCCACCATCAAATGGTTCAAAGGGAAATGGATGGACCTGGCCAGCAAAGCTGGGAAGCACCTCCAGCTGAAGGAAACCTTCGAAAGACACTCTCGGGTATGGCCCCCAACTCCCGACACAGGGGCTGGGCTAGCCCATTCCTTCTGTGTGGATAAAAGGTCATTTCAGATTCAGCTTTGAGAGATTTCAGTCCCAGAAAATTATATGGAGTTACCATTCCGACATCTACACTCTAGCATGGTTGCCCTGTTACACCTAAGAGCTGCAGAACATAGTGACCCCTCCTGTATTGAGAACTTTGTACTGGAATCCCCTGATGCAGATACATCTTTAAGCCAATGGTGAGGAATTTGGAAAATAGGTGAAATGTGATGGCCTCCTTCTGTTGGCAAGGCAGGGCTAAAATGTGTCCGGATGCATGTCATTGCAGATATACACATTCGAGATGCAGATCATCAAGGCCAAGGAGAACTTTGCAGGAAACTACAGATGCGAGGTTACCTATAAGGATAAGTTTGACAGCTGTACATTCGATCTTGAAGTACACGGTAAGAGAACCTTCTTATCTGGATAAATGTGATTTTTTTTATGGGCTTTAGAGGATAGAAGAGAAGATGGTCATTTAATACTATAAGATTTTGAAAATAAACTTTCTTTTAAAGCTGTGTGTTTTGATTGTGGTAGTCTCAGCAAGCCTGCTGTATTACATTGTAATGAAGCCATTTAAAAGTGCAATTTGGGGGATTTTATTCCTAAGTATCTCTTGTCCATGCTCTATACATTTCTCAGTTTCCCAGATGAGGGCTGATACCATTTTTTGCTGCTACTGAATGTGCCTATTTCATTGGATTCTCTTATTCCCACACAGGTTTGTGGATAAGTTAGTGGTTTGAGGATATCAGGATACCCAGGTGGGAGAGAGGATTTCTCTAACAAGGACTCATGTCAGATATAGGAGTTCTCCATCCATATGTTCTGTGTACTGCCCAGAGTAAATTTAATAGGGATTAATGTAAAGGTGTGTGTGTAGTTTGGGTGGGGAGGGGACCACTTCCATAAGTAGACAAAGGGAAACTTGACTTGGCAGCAAAGATCATAAACTTAAGAAGAATCCCAAGTGTGATTAAGTAGCAAAAGACAAAGCTGGTGTAATTTAAACCTGGGCCATTGCATTCTAAGCAGTGGAAGACCTACGTTCAGGAAATGAGACTATGCTCTGCAACGGGCCACTTTTTCCATATTTGGAGTAACGTCTTTGGCCTTGGGCACCAGGCCTCTACCTGGATCCTTTCTGGAGTAAGGTAACAAGGAGGATGAAGAATCCAGAAACCACTAACCACCCTATCCAGCTTGAGTGCGGGGTTAAGGAGGTCAGGCATATAGGTAAATAGGGTAGAGGCTGTCACACAGAACAAGGAAAGGCCATTTCCCACTTGGGAAGTGTTTGAGGGCAGACTAGAATCTGAAGGTGGAAATCACGAGGAGGTGAATTGTGTCTTCCCATCAGCGTGAGCTCTTTCATTTTATGCCAACAGCCAGGGAAGGGAGTGAGATTCCCATTTGGAGAGAGGTCAGGTAGAGATCAAGGGTGGAGGAACTCTCAAGATTTCTGTAGTAAGTGGGAATCTGGTCGGAAGCAGTGCTTCCTCAAGCCCGCCAGGCATCTCTGAGAATCACCTGCAGGGCTTTTGAAGACTATTGACTTCTGGGTGCCCATCCCTGACCTGGGGAGTCAAAATCTCCAGCAGGGAGATGAAGAAGCTGGTGTTTTTCAGGTTCCTCGTGTGATCCTAATGGGAAGGCAGGTGAAACGGCACCTCCTCAGAACCTTTCCCTGATTCTGGGTGAAGGAGGGTGAATCTAATGTCTCAGCAGCTCAGCCATCAGGAGGAAAGCCGCCAGCCCCCCTTCACCTGGGGTTCTTTCCACCTGAAAAATCCTCACAGCCTGGAAGATAGTTAACACACAACTGCCCTCTTAATGGGTATTTATGTTATTCTTTTCTTTCCTTTCAAAGAATCGACCGGGACTACTCCAAACATTGACATCAGATCTGCTTTCAAGAGAAGGTAACGTCAAAGGGGAAATCATGAATTTGTATAACATGGAAGTGAAGATTTTCAAAACTCACTTTTCTTTCCTCCACAATCTGATTCCAAATAAGAACAACTCTTCTCTCTGTAGTCAAACATACCATATATTCAAAAGTTAGCCTTCTAGAGAATTAATGGGTTTAATGTCAAACCAGTATATACTGATTGTGTTTTAGAATATTCATGTTATATTGTAGCTCCCATTTTTACAGGTTTCACCTTTGCCATATAAAGAAACACTTTAAATCTATTGATATGGGGCTTCTCCCTTAATTGCCTTATTTCCCACCAAATGGCCAGGAAAGATCTGTAACAATACACACCTCATAGAGCATCAGTTATGTAATGTCAGCAAATAATTTATTTATATTTCTTTTCATTTAGAAATAACTTATGGAGCTACTAAACCATGTGCCCAGAACCCCACATTGAAGTAGCTACTTACTGAAATTAGCTCTTTTTAAATATTGGATTATGCCAAGTTAAAAAAACCATTAAGTCTGCTGGAATAAAGATCACCACAGAAAGGAAAATATAGATACCTATTTATTTTGCAACTGTCAAGACCAAAAAATCAAGGAGAGTGGTGGTCCAAGGAAGGAAAATGACAAAATTTTTCTAGTCTATGAGAAACATAACTAGCCCCTTCCTGCCATTATTTTACTCTCTGTACTTAATTCTTCTACAATATCATTCATTAATGAGAGTAAATGTTCTTAAGACTAAATCTACATATACTGAGTAAGGAAAGTCATCCTGAACTATTATTAAAAAATGAGTCTGCTAATAAAAGGCATATTTCCCTTCTAAATTGTGAGTAATGAAAAATTTTTAAAGATATTTAATATGACCTGTTCAGTCAATTGGTAGGTTTTTTAACTCATAACTTTCAAATCCTATTACTTTCCTTTTTCCTTCCTTCCCTTCACCCCATGTTCAGCAAATGCAGTGGTCTAAACCTCTGCTCATTCTGTGTAAGTATTTTTTTTTTGAGAGAGGATGACATAAGCTACTAAGTTTCATGCTTTAAAAGAATAGAATGTGTTTCCTTCAAAAGGTCTTCTCCAAATGCCTGCTCTTAAATAAATTTTGAAACCACATTTGAATTTGATTCTTATAATTTACATGTTATACACACTGTTTTTAAACCCGCAGACTCTTTTCTTAGAAACCATAAGTAACATTTGTAAAGAGCAGGAAACAAAATCTTCATTAAAAAAATTAAACATGTAAGTGAATATGTAGTGCCATTTATATTTCAGTTCCATAGCTTCTGTTTAGAGTTTATAGGAAATGATGAAAGTGGCTGCATGCCTAACTGAAGATGCATTTCTCTATAGGGAAGCACTTTTAAAACCTCCTAGTAAAGAGCTCATCAACAATTGGAAGACAAATTTTGAACAGTACATTTTTAAAGTCTATAAGTATTAATAAGAAAATGAAAAGTTTATAATGATTTCCCTTTTAAATAGAAAGGAATGCATCTTTTAAAAAGCTCTGCACTAGCTCCATTTTTATGTTATGCTGGTATCACACTATCTGAGTCATCTATTGATGGATACAAAGAAGTTACCTTTGCATATAAGCTTTGTACTTATATATTTGACACTGGTACACTTCATCCTGCAAGCCAATCTCTGTCTGACATGAATAACAGAGATCAGCAAAAGTCCTTTGCTTTTTACACAGGTATGTTTCTAGAGCCCCCAACTTGCAAAAACAAAGTACTTTGTGTTGCTTGGCTTAAGTGCATTTGTGTTAATCTTAACACAAATCCAAGCAGTTGTATATATGCAATCTACAAAAAAGTGTCTTCTGAAAATCGTAGAGTAACACAAGCTCCTCATGGTTACTTTTCCACAAGTACATACTCCAAAACTTAAAATGTCACTTGTGTGAAAAGAAATCATTTGTGTTTAGTCCCACGACTTGTGTGCTGGTATGAAATTGCATATGCTTATATGTGGAGTGTTTTGGGGGAAACTGTTGTGTATGTGTCTCAGCACTAAACCCAGATTTGCTTTTCTTTTGTTAATGACAGTGGAGATGGTCAAGAGGATGCAGGGGAACTTGACTTTAGTGGTCTCCTGAAACGTAGGTGAGAACCCAGTGATGCAGTGAGGCGCTGTGGCCTGGAAATCTTTTAGATACCCACTCAGAGAGGTCAAGTTTAAAGTGGATGTTTTTCAAAGAATTTCTCACTTTTTGAAAATGTGTTTTGCTTATAGAACGTAACTGAGTCAACTAAGAAAGAAACAGAGGAACCACTGCACACTAATCTGTTAAAGATTTTAGCTAATGCTTTTGTATTTCCCTTTTAAATATTTTATGACTCTTCACACTTTCTTAGTTGGGGATGAGGAGATTTGAAAACTGAGACAGCAGAATTAAATAAAAAGAAACCTCTGATTTCTCTCATGATTTCTATCATTTCAATTATGATTCCTTGTTAGGACTGAATAAATAAAGCCTCCATTCTTCTGGCTTTGATATTTGATTGAAAAATCAATTTCACAATTTGGTAGAATTCTATACATATATATATATATATGTATATATATATATACACATACATATATATTTGTATGTATTTTTTTAAAGGCAGGCCTACTTTAATATAGTTTTTATGATTTGCTGTATTTCATCAAATCTACAACACCATTCATTTTAATACATACCTGTATTTTATATATCAGTAAACAATGGAAAAATTGCTCCAAATAGTTTATGACACACTATTGAATATAAGACACGTGTTTACTTCAGAAATGCTTAAAGTGTCCAAAAAATGTACATTTTAGAATATAGTAGTAAAATGGAAATAAATGTTTATTATCACTCACACTCCCTTAACAATGCTCTCTTGCAATAAAATTTATAGATTTTCATCATGAATATTCAATTCATAAGCTTTTTAAAGGATTTATGCCCATAAATAGGTATATATATATAATCATACAATATCCTATAATACATATTGTTATATATAAGTTATACATATCTGTTTACTATAGTGCAGAAGAAAAAATTGATTTTTGCTGGGATTGTGTTTATCAAATTTGTGAATAAACAGTAAAACTACAATTCTAAATTAATAATATATAATATTGTTATCAGTTTTCATTTAGCTTTCCAGTTTCACTTTATTACTTTTAGTGTTTTCTATGGTTACTAAAGAAACCTAAGTATAAATAGGCTGCCCAAAAAATTACAAATAGTAATGAACTGGACTCATGTTCATTCTCAGTTTAGTTGAATGGCTTTATTCAAGTCCCTCTGAATGAAAAATTCACCCCTAACTCTAAGCATTTAGATTGAGAACAGAAATAAAAACTGGCACAATCTATTAATTGCCCATGGATATTTGCCAATCAATAGACTTTGGTAATATCAAATACGCCTTTGTTTCTTTGGATACCTCACATAATCATCAGTCTCAATAATAGTTATTAATTCCCCAAATTTATTTAAAGCAATTCGATATGAAGTGGCCTTAGGTGACCCTCACTTCCTCGTTCTGCAGGCGAGAAAACAAAGTCCAGAGATGCTGAGTGACTTACCCCAAGGCACGGAGCTAGTTAGAAGCGGGGCAGGGACCAAAATCCCAGTTTCCCTTTTCTGAGTCAGCTCATTTCCTTTGACTCCTTTGAATCTGCCTTGGAAATTGGTGCTTCAGTGTATAACCCAAAGTGACACTTTAAGAAGAGAGGTTTTTTCCCCTGCAATCATTTATTCAATAAGGAAAATACTAAATGCTTTCTTTGTGTAGAATATAATACTTGGGGAGAATATCTTCTTGGGGAGAAGAAATCCAGTGCCTTCCAGTGCCTGGCACACAGAAAGAGATGATACATATTTGTGAGAAGGAAAAGGTAGTGGTAAAAACATGGATTTGAATCTCACCCCTCCATCTACTCATTACATGACTTTGGTCAAATTATATGTCTTCTCTGAGACATGCTTTCCGCACCTGTAAATGTAGAGAATAAAAACTACTTGATAGGATTATTGTGATAATTAAATGTAAAAAGTCTGGCTCACAGTAGATATCAAATAAATATTCATTTTCATCCAAAATATGATGTGTTCCCTTGAAGAGCTTATATTCCTAAAAAGACAAAAAGCACACACATCCCAATCAATCAATAAAAATTTGATACATATTTTTAAATGCCATGCTCTAATTAAAAAGGGAAAAGAAACAAAAATGAGAGTAGTTCTATCAGTAGTTGTAGAGTAAAAAAATTTAATGGTCGAAGTAATTAAAGAAAAACAAATTACTGGGAAAAAATGGGCCACCAATATGTCTCCAGTTCTCATCTTCTTTACATCCCTAATTATGATTTTGACTTATAATTAAATTGTTGTTAAGATATGACTATATTCATTTAATATGCTAATCTACCAGTATAATGTTAGATATCATTGTGTTTTCCTACTAATTTGTGAATTGCATGTGTTTTCATTGTGGTAATGACGTGATTACCATTTCTACTCCAAGAGTTTGTGGCAAAATCTCTGTCATAATAAATAACATTACAGCCAACATCTCTATACAACAAAAGATCTCCCTGCCCTGAACAATAAATATTAGCTAAATCAGAGTAAATCTTTTGGGCAGTATCTTGTTATGGGACCTGACCTATATAAATACTTGGAAGTTTTATTCTACAAAAAAAATTGTATAACTGCTTTGTACTTCCCTAGGATCGTCAAGTTATAGAAATTTTGGTGTAGATGAAAGTACTGTGAATGTTATATAGGTCTATCCCAATGCCTGGCGAGGAATCAGTGGTGTCTATAGAAATATGGATTTTTCTCCCTACTGTCATTTAACATAGGCATGCAGTAGGGCCATGTGCAGCCACCATGGTAAGTAAAGCAATGTTCTGGATGAGTTAAGGAAATGCTACAGGTGGGAGCCTTGATCTCACATTCAAGTACAAAGTAATGAATACTTCTTGCAATTTGGGATTCAATTAAAGATGGAGAGAAAAGGGAGGAATAAGCAAGAGGTCATCGGTGTTCCCACACAAAATCTGGTAAGATTAAGAACATAGTAGAGCCAAATGTACTTTGGTGTTTTAAATGGAAAAAAAAAATGGTGAGGATGATCGGTTTTATAAATCTACCAACAGAAATCACACTAAAAATGATGATCTTTATGACTGGCTTCCAACATATAACCATCCATCTCATAGACCTAGACTTATCTCAGTGTTTGACTTGTCCCTCTTGTTAGCTATTTTAATGTAGTTTGGTATCTAAATTTCACTAGTGTCAGGAGGATACTTGAAATGTGTACGTAATTCTTCTTGGTTGGAATATAAATTTACCACAGTGTAGTATGGCATAATTTTACAGTTTGAAAACTATACATAGGCTGGAATGGGACAAAAATAGAGCTTTAATAAAGTGACTGAGGAAACACCTACAGAAAATATGTACATACATAGCCATTTTAATTGCGATTCTCCAAGACGTCCTAAAAAATATTTAAAGGATGTACTTGAAATTTAGACTGCTTTCAGGCAGTGGATTTAGTAGATCTGGCAAATTATTACCAATATTCCAACTTCAGGACAATTTTCTCAAGCTTTTCAATTTCGCCATGTTAATAGAGGGTGTAGTTATCATTTCAGTGAGATGAAGATACTTGTGTCTTGAATTTTTAAGAGGCACATTTTCTTAATGGTGTTGTCCAGTCTTCCCACAAAGGTTACTGGATAGACCAATAACCTTCCATTTCTTTCCATTGTCCAGATTTGCCTCAGCCTCCTCCTCTGGGAAAAGAGATTTATATGACGATAGAAATTAGATGTTTTGAAGTCTTCCTTGCCTAATGCCACCCTAAACTCTGTTAATAGTTTATTCTCCTCCCCCTCCCATGATTACAATCGAGTATTTCCTCAAGGAATTCTGAAACAGGTATAATTGTGACAGTGCAAACATGAAACTGTTTTCATACTGATGTTTAAGATGTGTTGACCTGTTTTCCAAATAATAATCCAAACCATCATTATTTACAGTAAGTAGTCACTGTAATACTTCCAAATTAACCAGATAAAACCAGTTAATAAGCCAGGACTATTTAGCCAGCAAAGGAAATGAATTTAAATTTTCTTTTGCACTTACTCTGAGGCTCTCCTCATAAAGCATTTATTCCTGAATTTTGGTTTCATTTTATGGTTCTAAAATAAGGACAAGTGTGTCCTAAATCTTATATTCTTCTAATCATATATGTTCTTTATATGTTCTACATGCTCTTTAGTCAGTGATCAAAATTTGGGATCATAATTTTGATAATTACACTAAAAAGTTACCTTCCCCTTGTTCGTGGAATCCTTAACCAGAATTTGCCTTATGGTTTAACATTTACATTTTTATTATTCATCATCAACCTGCTCCCCCCAAAATTCAATACAGTGCTTTAAGATGAAAATGAGAGAATTTTTGGCAAGTCTTCTTTTTCCCTGCCAGTTTAGAAAAAAAATTATTTTAAGAAGCATATGTATCCTCAAAAATTATGAAAAACAGGCAAACCAAAGAACTCTATGTGGCAGTTTCAAACATTTTTGTATAATAAACAGCAAAAAATGGTTAATGTACACATCTATTAATAAGGCAGGAAAATGCTATTTGCAAAATTCAAAGGTTTGAAACTTATTCGTACTGTCTCCCTGTATAGCTAGGGTGTGCACCAATGAAGGTAGAGATTATTTTTCTATCACAGACCAAGTTTTTAAATCTTTAGGTCTTAATTCCACCTTTCAAAACTACTTCAATATCCACATCCTAGACGACAACTAATCTTAAATTCCTCAACACTCACCTCCTATCTAGACTTTTAAGTTGAAAATAAGTAAAATACCTTCAGAGTATTTCCTGATATCCTTCCTCTCCCCTCTAATACTGTGTTTTTGACTAGGAAAAAAGAGAATGTTAAGTGCAAGTGTCTGACCGTTAACTATCCGTAAGTTTCTCCGAGGCTTCAAAGAAAGCAAGGAGACTTCCCTCTCGACTTTAACTACTCAGGCTTTTTTTTGAACAGTTTTTAACACTGAACCGACAAATCGGTACCATCCTGCCTTGTGTTTAAGGATCCAGTGGGCAGCCACTAAATTAGGCAATGGTTCTCCCCGGTTAGGGAGGTGAAGCAGCAGGAGGAAGAACCTGAGGTGGACGTGTGGGAGCTGCTGAAGAATGCAAACCCGAACGAGTACGAGAAGATCGCTTTCCAGTACGGCATCACCGACCTGCGAGGAATGCTCAAGCGGCTCAAGCGCATGCGCAGAGTGGAGAAGAAGAGCGCAGGTGAGCCCGCCCCGGGGGCGTGGCCGCGGGGCCCTGGCGCCGCGCGCGGAGGACGTAACCGTACACCCCTGAATTTGGGATGGGACTGGCTCGGGTGGGATTTGCAAGGTTTACGCTTCTGTTGGTTACCTTTGGCCTCAGGTGAAGTAGTTCACTGCCCCGCACATCACTGGCTGTGAGGGTAGCAGACTGCTGCTGAAGGTTTAAGGTAATAGAAGATGTACATTATAGTGCCACATACAACATATAATGCAATAATAGATAGCCCCGCTGTTACTGGGAATTTCTCAGCATTCCCTTTCTCCAGCCCCCACATCTCTTTCACTTTCAAATTCTTGATTCTTACTTAGGCAAAGTAGATTCGATGTCTCTTTGTTTTACCATCCTAGTCTTCCATCGATTTGATCGCGCAGGGGGAATTCACTTCTTGTACCCAGTACAGCTCCCAACCGTTTTGTGAGACAGCTATGCTGCTCCCTGGGGATCTGAAGTGGCTGCAATTTGTTTTAGTTTTAAATACCATTTTTAAAAAAACGTTGAAATATTGGAATTTTAAATAAAAAAAAACATTTTAAATTGATCATTAACTCTTTGAGTTTCCAATACTTGATTATTGTCATTGGTTTTATGACATGTCAGGATAATAGATCAGTCTTATTGCTGCTTATTGTTTATGTCCAAATAGAATTTAAGGAATCTTACCACCTGTTTTTTAAAAATCTCTTTTAAAAAATAAAAATAAAAATATGCGTTTTGTTTCTCAAAGTCTCTGTAAACTGGTTGAGAAATGGCCTCAGAGAAATATAGAAGTGCTGTGTTTTTGTTGTTTTTGTTTTGTTTACATAACTCAGCCATTCCCACTATTCAGAACTCCTGAAGTTTTATTTTTGAGAGGTGGCTAAGACTGGATAGTCACAAACGTGAAGAGCTGGCTGACATCTCTTTCCCCTACACTGACCTAGCTTACTGTTATTGCTTAGCTCTGAATTGGTCTTGAGGTATGGGATAGATAACTTTTTAAAAAGCTAGTGTTTATTTTATCTTGTTAAAATAAGGGGAAGTGAGCTTATTTAAACAATAGTACATTAAAATTGGAATAATGGAAATGCAAGGATGACAACTTCATAAGGTATTCCGTGTTTCTGTGTATTTTCCAACCTGTCTAAATGAGAATTTTTTAAATCAGGGGAAAAATATTTTTTAAAAAACGAATTAAATACTGTTTAGGGCTTTTCAAAGATAACGTTTTTAAAAACGAGTATGTTCTGTGTTATATAAAATGTTTTGAAATCCTGAGTTCCTGACCATATGTGTAAGGGGTGTTTTAAATGTGTCACTGTTTGGGCAAGTTTCCATGGTACAAAAACTTTAATAAGCATACTTTTTCAATTAGTTAAAGGTATTCAATTAATTTTATCAGTCATGCAATTTACCTCATAAATTCCATGATAAAAAACTGTGACATAGAAGGAGTACAATGGTAATGCCAGTAACCCTGAAAGTAATCATGTTACTATCAGGAGAATAGGTATGTTCTTCGAATTCTATTTCATTTGTATACTTTGTATTATACATTCCCTGCAGAATTAGGACAATCATCTTTAAAGACTTTTCAATAAATATTTTCTTATGTTTTTTTCTAAAAATATGTTTTCTCTTTAAATTTTTAAACCTTCTTACTATATATAAATTGACACAGAATTCTAGAATATAAAGGATAATTTAGAAGGTTCCTAATTGTTTTCTTGTCCAAGTCTCAATTTTCAGTTAGTTTTAGTTCTCATAACATGTATATACATATTAACCTGGTTTTCTTCTCTACCAGCTTTTTCAAAAATTCTTGATCCTGCATATCAGGTTGATAAAGGAGGCAGAGTCAGGTTTGCTGTGGAACTGACAGATCCAAAGTTGGAGCTGAAATGGTATAAAAATGGCCAAGAAATTCGACCCAGTACAAAGTAAGTGGGCTTTGCAAATAACCAGTGATAACTGTGTACATCAAATAGTAGTCTGACTTAATTTTCTGTGAATAAAAGCACTTTCTAGATATGCCTTTATGATGCAAATCATATGGAAGTTGAGTAAAAATTTTTCATGTATTTTGGAACAATTAAAATTATAGCACTATATAAGTTAAATTTTGGTTTATGTTTTAAGTCTGTAGAAACTATTTCAAGTGATTTCCAATTATGGTTTTGTGTCACTGTTGTTCTTTGTAATCATTTCAGTGCAAAATAAAATGATGAAAAATTTTGACATACATATTTGACATTCCAGCTGGGAATCATGCCTTAATGAGTAGAAAACTTTTGTTTCTCCAAAGTAGCATCTAAAGCCCATTTTTTATTTCTTGGCCTCCCAACTGAAGGAAACAGACTAATCCCTGATATCTGATGGTATCATTAGTCTGTTATGAAACTACCTTACAGAGATCGTTTTCAGCTTGAGAGATTTCCAACTCCAATATATTTTTTTAAGTTAACAGGAGCCACATGCGTTTATAAAAGACTTTAATCCTGAAATATCTGTCACTTCTGGGGTACAATTAGGTGGTTTCCAATTTCTTAATATGGTCATGCCTGCAAGTGACTTTGTGATGATAATGTTTACATCTGGTAAAAATCTTGTGAAGGCACCTGAATTTGCCAAAAAAGATAATTTGGTTATCTTTAGGAAATATTGTGTAGTGTGTTGTTTTTGAAGTCTTCAGTTCTAGAATTTTCCAAATAAGACTTGAGTTTTTTTCTTTAGTCTCTTATAATACCCTAATATACTCATCCATAATCCAAGTCAGACAATTAAATTTTGTGATCTTCTTGGCTTTTGTTTCCTAATGCTCAAGTTCTTTCTTAGTAGATGGTAACTGTGATATATCAGTAGTTCTTCAGCTTATTTAGGAGAACATCACATTCTATAAAATTACTGCTTATAATAATGATTAAGCTCACATTATTGCTTACATTGTGTAATCACTTACTCACCTTAAAAAATCTGCTGTGTCACTGGGCTAGGCATTAAGTGGCATCAGTGAATCAATGAATAAGATTGAGTCCCTCTCCACTTATAATGTAGCTGAATTAGTTATCTAAAAAAGTATACAGAGTTAAAAATCTCTGACAACCTCAGCCAACCCTATTTTCCAACAATGGGTTAAAAAATTTTAAACTTACATAAAAAATAGTGACAAATCAAATATTGTCTGTAAATATGCATAGATATTACATTATGCTTTATAAAGATAACAGTTGGTTTCCTATTTCACATTAATTAAACTGTGTAAGGTATGCCATATAAATGGTATATCAAAATCATATCTTCAGCTTTCAAACATTACTGATTTATAAGCCAAATTTGTTGACAATCAAAAGAATAAAATCAAGTTCACCAACTGTTTATTTTCCTCCTATTCAAAACAGATATATCTTTGAATATAAAGGATGTGAAAGAATCATGTTTATCAATAACTGCTCGATGACAGACGATGCAGAGTATTATGTGAAAGCTGGTGATGAGAAATGTTCCACTGAGCTCTTCGTGAGAGGTAAAGTGAAATCTCTTGCTGCAGTTGGCAGGAGCCAGTGGCTCGCCTCCTCCCAGGGGTAGTAATCAAAATGAGAGTGACAGGGTGAGCCCTAGAGCTCCAGAGCAGGGGTAATAGTACGTCTAGAAATGGTTAGTTAGGGTGTTAGATTGGTTCTGCTTTGATGCTCCTCAACACTGGCAGATATTTTGTATCCTAATTGATCCTCAGGTTTGGTGAAGACTAGAAAAGCAGAGGGGAGAAAAAAACTGCTGAGTAAAAGGCCTCATGGTTTTTGACTCAAGTAAGCAGAATTTTGCAATACATATTCTAGTTATAGCTTCTGAAACCCAACAAAGTCTACAAAATAATCCTCATTTCACCACTCTGCTGATCAGAAACAGATTTGCTTTGAAATCATTAGTAAAAGAGCATCGGTGATGGTTGTCACTGAGGGTGCTGAAGACACCATGAAAAGTTCTGGAGGGTGTCAGTGAAGCCATGGCATTTACTTTCTTTATGAAGTCCTCTGATTACAGACAGCTCAGCAATTTCTATCATTCCTTAGAAACAGAATCAAATAATCTTATAGTTATAGTTTCTCCTTCATCAGAAAGGTCTGCTGTCTGGTTTGTTTGCCGAGAGAAGGAAAACTGATACATGTTTTGTCTACTCTCTAGACCAATCCTTTATTTGATTTGAAGAGTTCTGAGGAAACTCAGATCTTGAGAAGACTTACCCGGGGTTGCCAGCTCTATTTTGCCAAAAAAAAAAAGACAAAAAACTCACTTACCCATTACCATGTAACTGTAACTCCATGGTCGAAGATGTTTTCTTACCATTGGTCTATCATCTGTGAACAAATCCGCAGTCGTGAGCAGGTTTTGGACATTTAATGATGCTGATGCTCCCTTTTCTCACACTAGAGCCTCCAATTGTGGTGACCAAACTGCTGGAAGATACAAATGCCTACTGTGGGGAAAGAGTGGAATTAGAATGTGAGGTGTCTGAAGAAGATGCCAATGTAAAATGGTAAGCAGCTTCCTGAGGTCTTGTCCATTTTTAATAGATTTTTTTTAGATGTACCATCACTTGAAAATATTTCCCACAGTGGAGAGGGTTTCCCTAAGAAGAAATCTGTTTTGGAAAGGACTTTATTAAATTTGGATTTGTCCAGTGGTGTGCTGGCAAATGTTGGACAATTGGTTCTATTGAAATTCATTATGTATCTACATATGTTTATTATAAATTTTACTACCTTTAAGGATGTGTAGCACTCGATTTATAAATTACAACACAGAGCACAAACTCTTGATTTTAGATGCCATATAGTCAACTGATTTCACAGAATGCTTTTGTTAATTTTTGCTGAATTCTTGTATCTCTAGTCAATTTATGGTTGACATTCAACTGACATTTGAAATGGAGCTGCATTTGTCTGCTATCTCTGTTTCCAATAAATTTGTTGTCATTAAAAAAAAAGTACCATCAAGAGTTTGGAGAACAGGAAATGGCTTTTGTACATATGAAGTGAATCTCAACCTCATCTGTGTTAGTAGAAGTGGTAACTAAAACTGAGTTTTTTTCACCTGTGTAACTGAAAAATGACCCAGAACTAAGACACTGAGTTTTTTTTCACCTGTGTAACTGAAAAATGACCCAGAAACCTGTATTTGTAAGGATACGGGGAAGTAGGCACTTACTAATACATCGATGGCTCAAGATTGCCGGGGTCTGTTTGACTGCAAAGCCTATAGAGGTTCTTAATCTCTATACCATGCTTACTCTCAATATGCCATTCTGACAACTTATGTGGAAAATATATGTATATTTTTCATTTCATTCCTAGTTACTTTATTGTTACAGCACATCAAAAGAATACTTTACACTAAGAATCACCAATTACTTTACAAAATAAAAGCCTGTTTATTTTGGTCAGATGGGGAGAGTTGTCTCAAGTTCTCTGTAAGTAACCTCAGAATTAAAAACCAGAAGATTCAGAATCTTGAAATGCCTTGTTGAGAAGTATAGCAAATTACACAGCAGGAATCTATAATACTTATAATTAGTAGAGAATAGATTGTTCTTTCTAATCTAGAACCATAACTATCTTTAAAATGTGTTAAATGATGCTAGTCTTACTAGTGGTAATATCTGCTCTTCGCATCTTCGTCTGATTGGTTTTGAATGGGAAGAGGGGGCTTATGCTCCTTGAATAAAACAAAACCAACAAGGTCCTCTCCTGAAGGGTCTTTTATAATACTTTTTAAATAATCTATTTTAACTCAGGTTTAAGAATGGTGAGGAGATCGTCCCTGGTCCAAAATCCAGATACCGAATTAGAGTTGAAGGCAAGAAACACATTTTGATCATAGAAGATGCAACAAAGGCTGACAGTGCAGAGTATTCCGTAATGACAACAGGAGGACAGTCATCTGCTAAACTTAGTGTCGACTGTAAGTAAGACTTCCTGGGATGTCTCCCAGCTTGGTGTACTGATGGTGTTATGCTTGTTAGTTCAGTTTTAGAAGAGTTTCAATCTACTTAATTTCTGCTTGTGGCAATTTTAAATACATAAAATTGGATTCTGTTCTATTGAGTGCCTATGTCAGTTCAGGCAGGGCCTCTGGGAAAGGAATCAACTACTCAATTTAATACTGGAGCACAATATTGAGAAGAAAGTATAAAAAATCACCTTCCAGAGAAGTTACCCAAAAAGCTAGGAAATATTTTCATCCCAAGCCCACATAAATAGATGGTAAATACTTAGACATGATATAAAATCCTGATAATGTTTGCTTAATCCATAAGTGATTTTGCTATCTATTCATTAAATAAACGTTCCATGTTCTGCAATGATATTTAGATTGAGAAGGAAGTTACTCAAACCAAGGCGGCTCAACTGAGAACATTGTAAGAACTCATTTGCTGCTAGTATTCAGAAGCATGAGAAACTTCATGTACTTCTCCAAAGGCCCCCTGTATTTGTCAGTTCCCTGGGGCAGAGTCTGTTCCTTCTAGTTAGCTAAAGAAAATTAAAATAGCGCGTCTCACAGGAAGACTGGTAATACATGAAGAGCAGAAATCCTGCTCTTTCTTTCTTAGTCCAGTTGAGATTCATATAATCATTGAATTATTCAGGAGTAATCTCAGTTATGCCCCTTACATTGAATGGGATTGTGGCCATGATGGCTTAATATCAAAACAAGTTTTCAACCATAGGCAGATGCCTGTCTGATATTTGTGTACACTGAAAGCAATTACAGTCAGTTCTGCTATAATGCAATACATGCATTTCTAACACCATTATGCCATACAAAGTCGTACAATAAAAAACACTGGGTTAATGGGGTAAGTCAGGTCATGGGGTTTAACACTTAAAAATTTTGTTAGTGGTACATTAAAAAAAATAAGAAGCTAATAAAAACAGTATCACAGTTTTGCACACTAAATGGTTAGTAAACACTACAACAAATGTATCACTTTACAATGACCTGAAATTGGGTGCAGTTTCCTGCAGAAAGACTGAGTCTTTCTCTTGAATGAAATCGTGCACAATCAAATGTGAAATTTGTGATATACTCCCATTGTCCTTTAGTATACCCATTGCATTGGAATATATTCTCATTATCAAAATTAACTTTATAGCAAAACTGACTGTACCATTGTGAAATGACCCCATCTTGGCCCGACTGGAGTGTGGGTTTAGTACTTACAACCATGTATTATTTCTGTAGTGAAACCTCTGAAGATATTGACACCTCTGACTGATCAGACTGTAAAACTTGGAAAAGAAATCTGCTTGAAGTGTGAAATCTCTGAAAACATCTCAGGAAAGTGGACAAAAAATGGCCTACCTGTTCAGGAAAGTGACCGTCTAAAGATTGTTCACAAAGGAAGGTAAGCAAGCTAGGTGATCCATAAGCAAAGGCTGGTCCCCATCTCCACATTTTCCTCTTTCTAAAGTAAACATTTGGTGAGGACACTTGGCAAATGGTCATAGGGAGAGGATCTATTTCTGGTTCTTTGCCTCCAAATAGCAGGAACATGTGATTTCTCTTTTCTGCATCATGTCGCTCCTGTGATCCTGTATCTGCACCTCACAGCATGGTGCTTTGTCTGTTCGAAACCCACTGACTGGTTCTTTCCTTCTAAACATGAGGTTAGAGGAATGGTACTGAATTGTAGTTGAGGAACTCGTCAAGATGGATTAACTGTCCCTAACCACTAAGTATCAAGTGACTTTCCACAATTTGGAGGGGAGGGCATAATATCCTAAAATCTAATAAGATCTAAGGCAAGAGTTCTTCACTTGGGATCCACGGATCCTTAGGCAATTATGAATGAACTTCAGGGGCCCCATAAAATCCTCTGAAATTGTAGGCAAATACTGTGTGTACAAAAATACATGCTTTTCTCCAGAGAGAGGATCCACAGTATCCATCACCTCTTCACTGGTTCATGACCCAAATAAAGTTAAAAATTACTGCCCTTAGATTTGGCCTATAAAGCCAAAGTCAAGTTTATTCACTGTAATTTCTTAAATCTTAAAGTATGGCATTAATAAATTGTTATATTTTAGCCTTTTTTAAGCTATGAGATTAAAAAAAAAGATAGTAGACTCTTACATACATAATAAGTAGGTTGAATTTGTAGAGATAAATTCATATACTCTAAGACAAATATTTAATATGGATTAATAAATAGGATAATTAAGTCTTCACATTCATATTCTCTTTCTCTCCAACCTGCAATAAATAAGTTAATCAGATAAAGGCCAGATGTCTTGTCAACTTGGGTCATACAAAATCTAAATCTTTGCAAACTCTTAAAAATATGTTTTTCTTGTTTTCTTAGAATCCATAAGCTAGTGATAGCCAATGCTCTCACTGAGGATGAAGGTGAATATATATTTTCCCCAGATGCCTACTCTATTACTTTGCCTGCCAAAGTTCATGTTATTGGTGAGTAGATAAAAGAAGTAATTGCAGAATTTTGTTCTTATTTGTCTGTTTTTGCTTACCCTGGGAACATAACATACTCAAACTGTGTGATATTTAAACAAAAAATACATGAGTTGATATTAATCATTAATCATAAGGAGTTCATTCTTAAGAAGTCCTATAATGAAGTAGTTACAATGAAGGTGCCAGGCACCAACTACTTTGATCCTCTTATGTTCTGTTTGGCCAGATAAAGTACTGGTTATTACCAACAGTTGGCACTAGCCAAGTACTAGCCCAGATATACACATGGAAATGACTGATAACAAAGGCCATGTTTAATATTCTAGATCCTCCTAAGATCATCCTGGATGGTCTTGATGCTGACAATACAGTGACAGTAATTGCAGGAAACAAGCTTCGTCTTGAGATTCCTATCACTGGAGAACCACCTCCTAAAGCCCTTTGGAGCCGAGCAGATAAGGTCTGT